ATGGGATGGGATGGGATGGGATGGGAGGGACATGGATGGAAGGTTGGCAGGAGGGATGGAAGGACAGGAGAGGTCAGGGATGGAGGGACAGGGATCAGGGATGGAAGGACAGGACTCAGGGATGGAGGGACACGAAGTTCAGGGATGGAGGGACAGGGGTTGGGATGGAAGGACAGGGATCAGGGATGGAGGGACAGGGATCAGGAATGGAAGGACAGGGATCAGGGATGGAAGGACAGGGGTTGGGATGGAAGGACAGGGATCAGGGATGGAAGGACAGGGATCAGGGATGGAGGGACAGGAGGAGTCAGGGATGGAAGGACAGGGGTTGGGATGGAAGGACAAGGATCAGGGATGGAGGGACAGGGACACCCCCAGCCCCAGCCCCGCGCTCAGGCGCTGCCTCGCAGGGTGCCGGTGCTCTCCTGGGGAGGAGCGTGTGCCTCCCGCGGGTCTGGCTGGACGTGCGACACCGGGAGCCCCCCCGGCTCCAGCCTCACCCCCTGCACGGCCCGCGGGGCCCGGCCGGGGAGCTGCTGGCGGCCTTCGAGCTCCTCCACGAGCCCGAGGTGAGCGGCGACAGCGGTGACGCGGAGGTGACACCCAGGGCTGGGGTGCCACTGTCACCGTGTCCCCCCCACGGTAGGACGGGACCCCGGCCCCGCTCAGGCTCCCGCCCCTGAGGAACGGCGAGTTCGGCTTCCCCCCGGAGCTGCGGCCGCGCCTGCAGAGGGTGGCGCTGGAGGTGGGAGCCAGCCTCGGGGTGGGGACAGGGCTGGGGACAGCGGAGAGCAGGGACAGGGCTGGGGACAGGGGGGACAGGGCTGGGGACAGGGCTGGGGACAGCGGGGAGCAGGGAATGGGATGGGGACAGGGGTGGGAGAGGGATGGGGAATGGGATAGGGACAGGGATGGGGACAGGGATGGAGACAGGAATGGGACAGGGGTGGGTACAGGGATGGGACAGGGATGGGGACAGGGATGGAGACAGGGATGGAGACAGGAATGGGACAGGGGTGGGGACAGGGATGGGGACAGGGATGGGACAGGGGTGGGGACAGGGATGGGACAGGGATGGGGACAGGGATGGGGACAGGGATGGGGACAGGGATGGGGACAGGGGTGGGGACAAAGTTGGAGATGGAGCCTGGGAGTGGCGCAGGCTGTGGACTGAGCTGAAGGTGCTGGTGACAGGGACAAGGGACAGGGACAGGACAGGGGACAGGACAGCGTCAGGAAGACGGGAACAAGCAAGACGAGCACGGGGGACAGAGACAGGGGACAGGGACAGGACAAGGACAGGACAGGGACAGGGGACAGGGACAGGGGACAGGGACAGGGGACAGGACAGCAGCAGAAAGGAAGACGGGGACAAGCAAGGCCAGCACGGGGGACAGTGACAGTGACACGGATCGGGACCCGGCACTTTGAGCCCCGCAGGGAGGGGAGCCCCGCGGGGTGACCGGAGCCCGGTGTCCCGCCAGGTGCTGGCCTGGGGGCTGCGGGGGCTGCGCGGGGCCGTGCGGGAGCCGCGCCTGGAGCTGCAGTGGGGGGAGCAGAGCCTGTGGACCCCCCCGATCCAGGACATGGCCACCGACCCCAACTTCCCCAGCAACGCCTTCGTGCTCACCCTGGTGAGCGGGGCAGGGCCGGAGGGTCCCTCCCCGGGCTCGGGTGGCACCGCGGGTGACCCGGCCGTGTCCCCGCAGGCGCTGCCCGAGGAGGAGCGGTTCGTGCCCCCCATCCGCCTGCGCCTCTGGGCCGGCACCGAGCGGCGGCTGCTGCTGGGCCAGGCCAGCGTCAGGGACCTGGGGCGGTTCCGCTGCCCCCCGCCCCGTCCCGAGCGGCTCCTGGGCTCGGGCAGCGGCTCTCACACGGCTGTGGCAATGCCAGGTGCTGCTTGTCCCATCCCTGCCCCATCCCTGCTGTCGCCTCCCGCATCCCCGGTGTCCCCTGCCCCATCCTCGGTGTCCCCTCCTTCATCCCCGGTGTCCCCTCCCTCATCCCTGCCCCATCCCCAATGTCCCCTCCCTCATCCCTGCCCCATCCCCGGTGTCCCCTGCCCCATCCCCGGTGTTCCCTGCCCCATTCCCGGTGTCCCCAGCCCCATCCTCGGTGTCCCCTCCTTCATCCCCGGTGTCCCCTCCCTCATCCCAGCCCCATCCCCGGTGTCCCCTGCCCCATCCCCGGTGTCCCCAGCCCCATCCCCGCTGTCCCCTCCCTCACCCCCGCCCGTCCCTCTCTCCCACAGAGGATCTCCTCTCCCCGCCCGTCTCCTCCAGCCTCTGGAAGCGTTTGTGTTCCTTTCTCCTGGCCACAGCCCCAGCCAGGACGGCTCAGGTGAGTCCCCGAGGTCCCCCAGGTCCCACAGGTCCCCCAGGTCCCCCCGCCACCGTGCCTCAGTTTCCCCTCTGCTCCCTGCAGGACCTGCTCAGCCGCCTCAGGAACATCGGCGCTGAGGACCAGGTGGGCACGGGGGGACATCAGCAACATCGGGGCCAGCTGTCGCCACCTGTCCCCACCTGTCCCCACCTGTCCCCACCTGTCGCCACCTGTCCCCACCTGTCCCCACCTGTCCCCACCTGCTCCTGCTCCCCGCAGGACGAGGAAGATGAGGATGAGGATGAGGATGAGGAGGATGAGGAGGAGGAGAGGGACTGGTGGAGTAAATTCTACGCGTCCATGGAGGACAAGGAGCCCAAATCTCGGCGGGGAACCAACAGGGACAGACTGAAGGTGACGGGGACAGGGATGGGGACAGGGATGGGGACAGGGATGGGGACAGGGAATGGGGACAGGGATGGGGACAGTGGGGACAGGGATGGGGACAGCGGGGACAGGGATGGGGACAGGGAATGGGGACAGGGATGGGGACAGGGAATGGGGACAGGGATGGGGACAGCGGGGACAGGGATGGGGACAGGGATGGGATGGGGACAGGGATGGGGACAGGGAATGGGAACAGGGATGGGGAATGGGAACAGGGACAGGGATGAAGCAGGGGCAAGAAGGAGGATGAAGAAGGGGCCGAGGCCGCGGATCCCGAGCCGGGATGAGGCCGGGCCCGGGGGATGATCCACGGCCGGCTCTGCCCCGCAGATCTACGGCTGCGAGCTGGAGGCGGTGCCCGAGTTCGAGGGGCTGCAGGATTTCTGCCAGACCTTCCCCCTCTACAAACCGGGCCGTCCCCGCTCGGCCGCGCAGCCCCCGGAGCCCGTGGGCAGCTTCAAGGTGGGTGAGACCCCCCCTCATTTCCCCCGAGGAACAGCGGGGAGGGACCCCCGGAGGACCCCCGGGGGGGCTCTCAGGGGCTTTTCCGCATCTACCCCGTGCCCGAGGAGGCCGGGCCGGGCCCCGCCGTGCCCCGCTACTTCCAGCGGCTGCCGCCCCGCGAGCCCCAGCGGTGCCTGCTGCGCGTCTACATCGTGCGAGCCTTCGAGCTGTCCCCCCGCGATGTCACCGGGCTGGTGAGGGACACCCCGGGGGTCCCCGCGGGGCCGGCCGAGCCCGGCCCGGTGCCAGCGCGGTGTCACCTCGGTGTCCCCAGAGCGATCCCTACGTGCGGGTGTCGCTGGGGAAGAGGACGCTGGGACAGAGGGAGCAGTACGTGCCCAACACCCTGGAGCCCGTGTTCGGCAGGTAGGTGGCCTTGGAGATGTCACCTTCGGGGGTGGCACTCGGTGATGTCACCCCTGGGGTGGCACTCGGTAATGTCACTTTGAGCTGTCCCTGTCCCCGTGTCCCCACTGTCCCCCCGTGTCCCCACTGTCCCCCTGTGTCCCCATGTCCCCCTGTCCCTGTCCCCGTGTCCCCGTGTCCCCACTGTCCCCCTGTGTCCCCATGTCCCCCTGTCCCTGCTCTCCCCGCTGTCCCCGTGTCCCCGCTGTCCCTGTCCCCGCTGTCCCTGTCCCCGTTCTCCCCGTGTGTCCCCCCCGTGTCCCCGCTCTCCCCGTGTGTCCCCGTGTGTCCCCGTGTCCCCGCTGAACACGCGGCTGTCCCCGCTGTCCCTGTCCCCGCTGTCCCCGTGTCCCCCCCGTGTCCCCGCTGTCCCCGTGTCCCCTCTGAGCACGCGGCTGTCCCCAGGCTGTTCGAGCTGACGGCCACCATCCCGCTGGAGAAGGACCTGCGTGTCACCATCATGGACCACGACAAGGTCCCCCCGGACCAGGAGATCGGCAGCACCACCATCGACCTGGAGAACCGGCTGCTGTCCCCGCGGCGCGCGCACTGCGGGCTGCCCGCGCGCTACCACACGTGAGGGGACCCCGGGGACATTGGGGACATTGGGGACAAGGGCTGCTGTCCCCGCGGCGCGCGCACTGCGGGCTGCCCGCGCGCTACCACACGTGAGGGGACACCGGGGACACCGGGGACACTGGGGGGACATTGGGGACACTGGGGACACTGGG